CTGGGGCCCTGGTGTGGCTTCAGCCAGAGGTTCTAAGCCTGAGGTGGGATCTGCATCTTGCAGGGGTGGAAGTTCTGTCTCAGGGGAGTCCTGGAGTATGGTGACACACTCTTCAGCCTGCTGAAGCCCTTGTGTGGCTTCAGCCAGAGGTTCTAGGCCCAAGGCGGGATCTGTATCTTGCAGGGGTGAAAATGCTGTCTCAGGGGAGTCCTGGGGTACGATGACACTCTCTTCAACCTGCTGGGGCTCTGTTATGGCCCCAGCCACAGACTCCAGTCCTGAGGTGGGACCTGCATGTTGCAGGGGTGGAAGTTCTGTCTCAGGGGAGTCCTGGAGTATGGTGACACACTCTTCAGCCTGCTGAAGCCCTGGTGTGGCTTCAGCCAGAGGTTCTAGGCCCAAGGTGGGATCTGTATCTTGCAGGGGTGGAAGTTCTGTCTCAGGGGAGTCCTGGAGTATGGTGACACTCTCTTCAGCCTGCTCGGGCCCTGGTGTGGTTGTAGCCACAGGCTCTAGGCCCGAGGTGGGACCTGCATCTTGCAGGGATGGAAGTTCTGTCTCAGGGGAGTCCTGGGGTATCATGACACACTCTTCAGTCTGCTGGGGCTCTGTTATGGCCCCAGCCACAGATTCCAGGCCTGAGGTGGCATCTGCATCTTGCCCAGGTGGAAGTTCTGTCTCAGTATAGTTCTGGGGTACGGTGACACACTCTTCAGCCTGTTGGGGCTCTATTATGGCCCCAGCCACAGATTCCAGGCCTAAGGTGGATTCTGCATGTTGCAGGGGTGGAAGTTCTGTTGCAGGGGAGTCCTGGGGTATAGTGATACTTTCTTCAGCCTGCTGAGGCCCTGGTGTGGCTGCCGCTACAGGCTCTAGGCCCAAGGTAGGATCTGCATCTTGCAGTGGTGGAAGTTCTGTCTCAGAGGGATCCTGGGGTATGGTGACCCTCCCTTCAGCCTGCTGGGGCTCTGTTATGGCCCCAGCCATGGTTTCTAAGCCCCATGTGGAATCTGCATCTTTCAGGGGTGGAAGCGTTTGGGGTATGGTGACAATCTCTTCAGGCTGCTGGGGCTCTGGTGTGGCCCCAGCCATAGGCTCTAGGCCTGAGGTGGGATCTGCTTCCTGAAGGGGTGAAAGTGCTGCCTCAGGAGAGTCCTCGAGTAGAATGACACCCCCTTCAGCCTGCTGGAGCCCCTGTGTGGCTGCAACTACAGTCTCCAGGCCTGAGGGGAGAACTCCGTCCTCTTCCTTTGAGTTCTCAGGAGGCTCTGTGTACAAGGTGGGACTTGCTGCTTCTTGAAGAACTGGTTGTGGTTCTACAATGATGGGCTCCTGACCTAAGGTAGCACTCATCACCTCCTTGGAAAGCTGAGGCAGTGCCCTGGTGGCAGGTGCTTGTCCAGTGGTAGAGTCAGCTTCTTCTTCACCAACCTGAGGGGGCACCCTGGAAGCCGCCTCCATCTGAAGGCCTAGGGCTGCCTGCAGAGTATGAGGGGTCACAGTAGTTTCAGACTCTTGGCTTAAAGCAAGGCCTTCTTCCATTTCTGAAGTTGATTCCTGGCTGTGGACGAGATGAGCCTCTCCCTCTGAGACCTGAGGGTTGGTTACTGTTCTTGTGGCCTCTGGGCTCCAGAAAGCAGTCCCCCTTCTATGTTCCTGCTCTGTCTTCTGGGCACTGTCCTGCAGCAGGGCACTGGGCTGGGCATGGGGTTCCCCACTATACAGCCTGTCATCATCTGCCCCTGCATAGGAGGCTGAGTCCGAGTCAGAGGAGGCTGCAGAAGTGTCATCCCGGAAGGCAAAGGCCTCATCCATGCCTTCAATGATGGACAGGTCAGATAGTGACTGCAGGAAGGAGGAAGATGTACTATCCTCCTCACCCTCTCCGGCCAGGTCCCCATCTGGAGCAGGAACATTAGCTGCCACCTCCTCCTCTTCTGGGGGCAGTGGTGTCACCTCCACTGCCTCCACCTGGAAGATGAGGCTCCCCTGGAAGGGCAGGAGGGCTGCAGGGATCATTGGGTCATTGGCTAGGAAGTCCAGGTCGAAGAAGTGGCCCTCCTGGTCCCAGGAAGAGCTACTGTCTGCAGAAAGACTAGACTCAGAAGATAGGGATTCGGGAGGCACAGTGGGATTGGGCTCTTGTTCATCTGCAACAGAGCCCTGTGGGGAGAGGCCCCAGTCTGAGGGGAAGTCCAGCCCTTCAGCTGGGGCCAGCAGGCTGAGGGAACAGGATGGTGATGAGGTCCAGCTGTCCCCATCTGCCGTGATGTATGAGCCTGAGGGCGAGGCAGGTGGGGAGTCCAGCAGCTCATCCAGCAGCTCATCCTCTGGGTCCCAGGTGTCCCTATGGGGCCCATGGCTGGGAAGCAGGATGTAGGTTGTCTTGGTGGGAGTGGAGGGAGGGGTGAAGTAGGAATCAGGGTCTGGGGGAGGGAAAGGCACAGGAGGATCACCCTGAGAATACAACTCAGGAGGTGGGTACAGGTTGGTAAGCCCACCCTCCTGATCCCTGAGCACTGGTAGGCCTGCCCTGGGTGACTGGGGTGCCTGGCATGTCTCCTCGCCCATCACAATCCGGGGCTCCAGGGTGACAGGGAGAGGGCCCTTAGTGAGCAGAGCCTCAGGGGGCTGACCCTCATCAGGCAAAGCCTGTGGGAGGGGGCCCTCAGAGAGGAGTGTTGGGTTTGGGCTGCCTTCCGCTGGGTCTGCCCAGGCTGAAGGGGCCCCACCAGGCACTGCATCCCAGCTGGCTCCCTCAGGCTGGGGCCGGGCACCTGGCTTGCTGGGCAGGAACGTGAGGGTCAGGGAGCTGGGCTCTGGGATCAGGGCATGGGGCTCCTGCCGGTCCTCTCTCAGGATGGTGGCAGCAGCTGCATCACAGGAGAGCTCTGTGGAGACAGAGAAGAACGTGAAGCACCCGGACACATCTCCAGACCAAGTGAGGTGAAGAGCTGAGCATGGGATGGGAAACAGATGTCCATTGAAAGAGGCCCAGTGGAGAGCTGGCTGGGGAAGACAGGAGGGAGAAGAGAATGGTGGTGTGGGTTGCATTTAAGGAAAAATTTCCAGGGGTTTTGACAGAGAACAGAACTGTTGACAGTAGCTTTGCAGAATGGGGGCTTGCAGGCAGTGTTGCTGTGTGTGTTATAAACTCAGGATTTTCTTGGGGACACTTTAGCAAAGATGCAACTAGCATTTCCATCTTTTTTTTTTTTTTGAGACTAGATTGCTGATTCCTTTCTAGTTAATCAGTATGATTTAGCTGGGCTTAGCTGGAGTGGATAGCAATCAGAATCTGCTGGACAGTGCCTTCCCATGGCAGGAGTGTGGGCCCTCCCACACCGCACAGCTCTGGAACATTACAGGTCTCACATATGCCTACTGTAAAATACGGGCTTTGCCTCTTTGGCCCATCTCTCTCCTATATTGCTGCCAACACTTGAGGTCAACCTGTCCCCTCAGGGCCCTGTGCCTGGGCTGCTCCCTGTGGCATATGGGAGGAGGGAAACCAGGGGCTCTACATGCAGTCAAGTTTCTGAAGAATGGAGACAGGTGTTTCCCACAGAAACTGAATTGGAGCATCCATCTAGAAAGGCAGTGGTGGGAAATAATGGTGATCATGCAACTCAGTGGGAGCAGGACAACTACAAGAGGGCTAGTGGAGCCCCTGGTCCAGTGCTCCCCAGAGTAGCAGCCATTCCATGATGAGTGCCAAATTCTCCCTTGGGACTGGGAGCTAGGTCCTGCCCTGTAGCCCTTCTCTGGGTCCTAAGGAGCCCCATGAGGAGGCTACAGTGCTCAGGAAACCTCCATGGGCTGACACACCTCCAGCTGAAAAGTCCCTTCACACATACACCATGAAGTAACATGAATCAGAAAGCACTTAGGGCACTCAGCAAAGTGAAAGAACACCCCTGGCAAGCCTTACCACAACACTCTGCTAGTTTGTTACCTCCTGGTCTCTTGCTGACTGGCATTTTATCATCACTGAGGTCACACTGCATATGCACTTCTGAATCTTGCGGTTTTCACCAGATATTATCTCATAAGCATTTTTCCCATGTGTGCCAAGTGCTCATAAGCCTCATTTTTTAATGGCCTTGTAACATTCCCTTTTTCACCTCCACCAAAGCCAAAGATGCTTCTATTTGAAGCATCTGCTGAAGGCCCTCCTAGTCCCCCACCCCAGTCCAAGCCAAGTCCTGCTCAAGAGGGGGAGGGGCTGCTTATAGGGGCTGGGCTCCAAGGCTGATGCTTGCGGAAGGATGACTGCTCTACCATGCTCACTGGTGACAGGACAACACTGCCTGCACCTCGGCTTTCTCTCCTACAAAGTGGAGATCAAATAGGATTAGTGGTGAAGTCTAAGAAGGTGCAGCTTCGTTGCCAGGCTGCCGGATTTGCTCTCAGCAGCCTCAGGGCATTGAGAGCTCATCAACTGAGGGCTGAGCTGCTGGATAAGCCAGGGGGTCCTGAGAGAACAGGGAGCTCCTTCAGGTCCCTTGTGGCACACTTGATATCCAACAGTGGGAGTGGGTGTGGCTGGTGGGCATAATTGGGTGCTCTAAAACTGCACTGCACTGACCCCTGATATGCCTCCAGGGTAGGAGAAGGGCTGAATTGGCCAAGATTAGAATGGAAGGAAAAGAAAAGACCAAAGTTTTTTGTGACTCATTCAAGGTCACCAAACAAGCCAGAACAGAGCCAGCACATGATCCTGTTTCTGTGGAGTCTCATCCTGGACTGCCTGTTTCCCAAGAGCAGAGGTGATAACTGTGTCACCTCATAGCCATGCCATTGACCCTACACTGTCGACAGCCCAGGTGACTTCTTGTTCACAGCAAGGTGCCCTTGGCCCTGCCCAAGCCACACATGGCCAACCTCCCAGCAGAAACCATCCAGGCTCTGACTGCCTAGGCCAAGTGGACCGACCTAAAGTCTAAACCAACATTTGTTGACTCAGCCTTTCCAGGGATCCGGTGGTCTGCACAATGGGGCGTTGCTGGTGAGGCCACCTCCCCAGGGCCTCCCACCTTCCAGACCCAGATCTGCTGTTTCTCCCCCAAGTTGCTCTCCCTCTGGCCTTCCTATATCTCCAGCCAGTTCTGCTCCTCTCTCCTGTGCCTGGCCACTCCCCGGCCCTTGGAAGCCCAGGCTGCAGTTGAGGACTGTCTGGGTGGGCGCCGGATCAGCCTGCAGGGACCCCATAGGCCTCCCGCCTCCGAACCCGAACCCGTAGCCTTCAGACCCGGAGGCTGGTAGCTCTGCACGGACAATGGAACGCCAGCGGGGCGCGGCTGCCAGAACAGGCGGGAGGAGCCCGGCGGACCAGGAGCTCAGGGAGCCCAAAGACCCCAGGGTCAGAGGCCAAGGGCGCAGGTCCCCACGACGCTTCTGGCTCGCAGGAGCACTCCCTGAGTCCCATCCCGCTCTTGCCCTAAGTCCTGAGTGGGGGTCAGGGTTCGAGTGTAGGGAAGGGCAGAGCTTGGAAATGACTAGGACTGGCCGGCGAGCGAGGCAGAGGGATGAAGGAGGGAATAGGCCGGATAGAGAATTGGGCCAGAGAGGAGAGGAGCCGCGGTCTCACCTGTGCGGGGCCCAGGCCCACTAGCCTCAGGCAGCGGTAACTCGGCGCGGGCAGCCTCCCCGGGCATGGCCTCGACGAGCGCCCGCCTGGTCCCTCTGTCCCTCGGTCCGTCTGTCCGTACAGCCGCCCGGCGTAGCCTGAGCGGCCACCGCCCCTCAGCTGGCGGGGAGGGGGAGCGGAGTGTGGATGACGTCAGCGCAGCCCCGCCCGCCCAGCGGCCTGAGTGAGCGTGCGCGGGCGAGCCAGGCACTGCGGAGCGCGATGTCGCGGGTGGGGGGTGCACCCTCCCTACCCAACCGGTTGAGGTCTTCCTCCTGTGGTGTACGAATCCGAGCAGGCGTGGGGCGCCTGCGCCCCGCCCAGCCTTTCCCGCAGCATCCCCCTCCCTTTACCAGGGAGGGATTCGAAGACATTCGGGGTCTGGACACCTCCCCGGTGGCATCACCCCTCAGCTGGGAATAGGCGGAGGCGTCTCTAGAACCAAGGTTTCAGGGGCCGGGGAGGAGCCTCAGGGAGATACAGCCTACCCTTCTCTGACTAGGCGAAGGGCACAGGAGGCCCGGAGTGGGGAGGGAACCCCGCCCAACTTGATGCCTGTATCCAAAAGATGAGTTGGAGCCGCAGCTTTGGAGTGATTGGTTGGTCCTTGCAGTCGTCGGTCTCCATGGCAACCGCCTCCAGTCTCTGTGGCAACCAGAGATGGAGCTTAAGAGAGCGCAGCGGGGAAGGTGGATCCAGACGAGCTCCTGGGCCATGCTGGCAGCGTGATGATCTGCCCCCACCCTTTCACCCGTCAGTTCTCTAGGCATGGGGAGGAAAAGAAAAGAAAAGCTCCTCCTTCCGTTCCTGGCAGCTGCCCCTGCCACACCTCCAAGGATGAAGCCCACCCCGCCCCTTGGTTTTTCTGAAATGCGCGATTGCTTCCACTCAGGCCGCTGCACCGCCTAGATTCACCACCCCACTTCCCCGCACGGTGCCAGGCACTGAGAGACAGATGAATGACACATTGTGATTTCTGAACTGGGATAGAAAAAAAATCAAGAGCAGCCATTGTGGCAAGCAGGGAGGGAGCCTCCAACTTCCTCATTCTTCTGATTCTATCACAAAGCTCAGGAAGTCAGGTCTATCCCTGACTCCTCAGAACCTGCCTCTAGGCCCAGCGTTGCACATCTACCCTGCCTTCCTCTTAGTTGCTGTCAGTCCATCCATTTTTCCCGCGGGTGTGCAACTTTCTTCCGCCTTTCCTTTACATCTTTTACGTAAGGACCTTCATTTCCATCTCCTCCTCCTGTGAATGCTCTCCTGTTTTCTTAGCTGAATTCTAAGCTTGCTGCTCTGACACATGCCTATCATGAAAATATCATGGATTCTTAGAAATCAAATTCCCTATAAATGCCCTGGAAAACTATAAATCCAGGGCATAAAAGAGAAAGCCAAAGTAGAATCCTTAAAGATGAAATGAAGGGGAGCTGGTGAGGGATCAGGTGAACAGCATAGCTAGTAGAGCGTCTTCCCAGTAGGCGACCTAGGCCTGGCATTTCCTTACCTCAATCTACCAACAGGAGAGCCAGGTAGATTTCTTTATTCCCATTCAGAAGTGAAGGCCTGCTGACACCACCAGCTGAGCATGGCAAGGAGGCATGTTGGAAAACATGCTGCTTTCCTCCCCAACTCTACCCAGAGGCTCCTGGCGCAGGGAGAGGGGGTAGGGAACTAGTAAGGGAGATCCCACAACAAAAAGAAACTATCACTAGGTGTGCTGGACATTCCCAGTGATACAAGAGACTGAGGCCAGATGATCACAAGTTCAAGGCCAGCCTCAGAAATTTAGCCAGACCCTGCCTCAAAATAAAAACAATAAAAGGGCCAGGGATGTAGCTCAGTGGTAGAGTATCCTTAGTACTTGCAAAGACCAAAAACCCAACCTAAACAAAATGAAGCATATACTTGTACCAGTGAACTCAAACTTGAAATCAACTAAGAGAAAGACAACAGGAAGATCCCTAAACACTTGAGAATTCAGTAACACATTTCTTTTTTGTTGTTGTTGTTAAGAGAGAGAGAATTTTAATATTTATTTTTTAGTTTTCGGCAGACACAACATCTTTGTTTGTATGTGGTGCTGAGGATCGAACCGGGTTGCACGCATGCCAGGCAAGCGCGCTACCGCTTGAGCCACATCCCCAGCCCCAACCTTTGTTTTAAATATCTGTTTTTATGTGGTGCTGAGGATGGAACCCAGGGCCTCGCACATGCTAGGTGAGTGCTCTACCACTGAGCCACAATCCTAGCCCACTCAATAACACACTTCTAAATAATTCATGGGCCAGAGGAATTATCCAAGGAAAAAAATTTTTTTGGCATGGAACTAAATGAAAATAAAACCACAAAATATCAAAATATGTACTATGTAGCCAAAGCAGTGCAGGGAAGAATATTTGCAGCAATTATAAGAGAAGAAATGTCTCATGCCAACAATTTGATTTCCTATATCAATAAATCAGGAAAGGGGGGGGGCTAAGGATGTAGCTCAGTGGTAATGCAATTGTCTAGTGTGCACAAGGCCTTGGGTTCAATCTCCAAAACTGCCAAAAAACCCAAACCAAACAAAAAATAGAAAAAAGAAAATAGGAAAGAAGAGCAAAATAAACCAACACAGCAGAAGGAAGGGAAACAGTAAAATAAAGACAGAAATCAATGAATATAAAACAGGAAGATGATAAAAGGAATCAATGAAATAAAAACATGGTTCTTTGAAAAATTATAAAATTGGTTAAAACTCTTGCAAGACAAACAAAAATAAAGACACAAATGACCAATATCAGGAGTGAAATGGGGCTAGTGCTATGAAACCTACAAACATTTTAAGGATACCAAGGGGAATGCTACAATTTGATGTATATAAATTCAACAATTTGTAAGTAATGAACTGATTATTTGAAAATCACAAATTCCCAAAACTCAAAATAGATGAGATAGGTAGCTAATGTCCCATAACTATCAAATAATTGAATTTGTAATTTCAAATCTCCTCAAAATAAATCAACATGCATGAGTCCCTGGGTTCAAACCCCTGCCCTGAAAAAAAAAAAAAAAAGAAAGAGAGTGAGAAGCACCCTTTGGAGAAATGGCTAATTCTAGGGCCACAAAAAAAAAAAAAAAAAAGGAGGGTTGTGATTGGGTCGGAGGAGCTAGGTTGTTTCCACTAGAAAATTATACCAAAAATTTAAATTAGAATTAAAACCAATTTAAACAATCTCTTTCAGAAAACAGAAGAGGAGGAAACAATTCCTAATTCATTTTTTTAAGGCAAACAGTAGCCCAGCATAATTATTCATGCCTATAATCCCAGCTGTTCAGGAGGGTAAGGCAGGAGAATTTTAAGTTCAAAGCCAGCCTGGGCAACTTAGAGAAAACCAGTCTCAAAATATACTAAAAAGGGCTGTTAAAAAAAAAAAAGAGGATGTAGCTCAGGGGTACAGCACCCCTGGGTTCAATCCCAGTACCAAAAACAAACAAGGCAAGCAGTATCTGACATATACCCCTCAAAAACTCTAGACCAGAATCTCATAATTTTAGGTACAAAAATTCTCAATGGATTACTAGCAAATCAAATTTAGCAATGAATAAAAAGAATATACACCATGACCAAGTAGAATTTATACCAGGTATGCAAGGCTGGTTCAACACTTGAAAATCCATCAAGTTAATTCATAACACCAATATGTTAAATGAGAAAAATTGGACATGGGAGTGTAGCTCAATGACAGAATGTTTACCTAGCATGTAGAAGGCCCTGGGATGGAGCCCAGCTAGTGGGGTGGTGGTTACATTCCAGTAGAGACTGCTGCCTCCTTCACTGAGAACTCAGCTCCTAGAGTAGGTGTCATGCAGAAGCTTGCCACTGAGCTTAAAGATTCTCTCTGGGGGAAGAGAAGCAGGTTGTATGACAGCTTCTGATCTCTTCCCAAATGCACTGACTTCACTTGTAACAGAGGATGGGGAAGCACTCTCAAAAGTGGCAGAGGTTGGGGTGAAAGACCATTGAAAGGTGATTTGTGGATCCATTGAAAATAGCCTGGGCTACAGGGTGACAATTCACTGGAGAAAATTGAGGAATAAGAAAACTGAGTGCCCTGGGGTTAGAGAAAATATCAAACACTGACCTCAGAAATTATCCCATCTAACAAGACAGTGTGGATTAATTTGTAGAGGAACTTAGGCCTCAGAGGATTGTTGAAAGCATTAAAGCAATCAGTGGTGTATGTCAGTGGCAATTAGTGGAGTTTAATAGCTGGGTGTGGTCAGACAAAAAGGAAGAGAGTCCTACCAGTACTGGTCATCCTAGGGTGACTGTGGGCATACATAAAGCTGTACTCCCCTGAGAAGGAGTATCAGAGACTTAAAGTATGGGGGAGTGGGGATAGAATTAAAAATAATTGGGCAGGCCGGGTAGTGCACGTCTGTAACCCCAGGAGGCTGAGGTAGGAGGACTGCATGTTCAACACCAGCCTCAGCAAAAGCTAGGTGCTAAGCAACTCAGTGAGACCCTGTCTCCAAATAAAATACAAAATAGGGCTGAGGATGTGGCTCAGTGATTGAGTGCTCCTGAGTTCAATCCTTAGTACCTCCCCAAACAAAACAAAACAAAACAAAACGGACACAACCTAATAAATTCATTGGGGTTGCAAGATTCAGGACCAATATGCAAAAATCAATTATACTGTATACAAACTTGCAATTAGAAATCCAAAATTGAAATTAATAAAACAATTCCATTTGCAACAGCATTATAAAATAACAAATGCATGAGGTCCTGGGTTTGAGCCCCAGCAATGCAAAAAACCAAGCCAAAACAAAAAGGTAAAAATCATAAAATACTTAGGAATAAATTTAAAAGTAGTTCAAAATGTGTATTCTGGAAACTTTAAAATACTGTTGAAAAATTAAAGACTAGATAAGTGAGAAAACATTCCATGTTCATGAATCAGAAGATTTAACATTGTTAAGATGGTAACAATATCCAAGATCTAAAGATTCAGAACAATCCTTATCAGAATTCCAACTAACTTCTTTGTACAAACTGACAAACTCATTCTAAAGTTCTCATGAATTGCAAGAGACCCAGAAGAGCCAACCAAAATAATCCATGGAGAAAAATTCAAAATATAACTATGAAACAGTAGTAATCAAAAGACAATATACCATTGGCAAGAGGATATATAGATCAACGGAAGAAAACTGACATTCCAGAAATAAACCTATATATCCATGATATATATATATATATATATATATATCCATTGTCAAAAATCACTGATTTTTGACAAGGATGCTAAGACCATTTAGCAAGGGAAAGAATAACAACACTGGTTCTGGGACAACTAAGTAATTTCATCCAAAAAAATGAAGTTGACACTTTATATCATGTATAAAATCAACTCAAAATCATAAAGGAACAAAAGATAAGAGTGAAAATTATAAAACTCTTAGAAAAAAAGCACAAGGGTAAGTATTTGTGACTTTGGATTCACTAAGAAATTCTTAAAAATGACAAAGTACAAGCAGCCTAAGAAAAAA